CTCAGATGACCATTGTACATTTGTATGGTAAAGAAGCCACTCAACTACCTGCTAAAGTCATGTGTTGTAATTCTTAAAGCAGATTTCAGTTTTTATATTACTGTAATTAGTTCTTTTTATAAACATAGTGGCCCTAAACCATGCATATGGAAAAGGGTTTCAACTAAATACCAGACACTTACAGGGACACTTTCTTTGTAAAGCATAAGGTGATTTTTAACTTTGGTATTAAATAAGATTTCATTTGCCTATATAAAAATATTCAAGCAACGTCATTTGGTTGTACTTTATAGTTTGAATCCTATTAAAATCTTCTTTGAATGATTTTTTTTTACACGATTCCACTCATTATGCTTGGACAAGCTCTTTAAGCCACATTAAAATCATATTGAGTCAGCTTTCAGTCACCTAATAGAGGAGCGTCTTACCTTGGATTATAGAAATAGCCATTGTCTTCTTCACTTTTTTGCATGGCCTCTCCCCATGACTTTCTCCCAGAATGTCCAAGTATCTTGGAGGCAGATCAAATCATGAAAAAATTAGAACTTTGTTATGAAGGAACCTGGAAAAATGCAGAGGGAATATCAACTCCTCTTAAAAAATAACCATAGTTAACTATGTACCAGAAACTATCCAGAACACTTTACATGCATTTTAATTCATTTAATCCTCACAACAACCCTTTATTATAGTTACTAATATTATCCCCATTTTACAGAGGAGGAAGTTGAGGCCTGTGCATGGTGGAGCTAGGATTTGACCCTGGGTATACTGGTTACTGAACCTGCATTCTATCCATATTGTAGTATTACCTGCTATTAATTTCTTTAAATTGTTCTTAAAATGGAAAAGAAGAGATGGCTAAGAAACAAATACTTTCAGTTTAATTCAGTGTTTCTCAAAATGTATTTCACCCTCAGACTACTTATATCAGAATTCCCTGGGATCTTCTTAAAATGAAGATTCCTCATTTCCTACTCCCTCCACTTCTGACAACCACCATTTTACTCTCTGCTTCTGAGTCTGATGGCCAAAGAGTCCAAAGTTTCAGTTATGTAAGATAAATATGTTCTTGAGATCTACTGTATAGCAGAGTGCCTACAGCTAATGGTACCAAATTGTAAACTTAAAATTTGCTAAGAAGGTAGATGCTATGTTGTGTTCTTACCCCAAATAACAACAACAACAATGAAAAGGGTAGAAGGAAACTTTAGAATATGATAGAAGTGTTTATGGTCTGATGGTTAGGATGGTTCACGAGTGTATACTTAACCCCAAAGTCATCAAGTTGTGTGTGTATATATATATACATTCACACACACATGACATTTTACATGTCAATAATTTCTCAATAAAGTGATTTAAGGAAAAAAAATGGAGATTTCGGGGCCGTTCAGTCTTACTCAGACAAAAGGCCAAGGAGAACAAAGTCAGGTAATCTTCCTTGACAAGCATCCCACAAGGTTCTTACATATAGCGAAGTATGAGTATCACTGATCTGGATTAACGTTAAGTGAGTCAGAAGAAACAAATCTACAACTTCTTTGCATAAATACAAAGAGAATGTCAGTCTACCAGAAAATATTTAGCGTTTATCAATTATTACCGCAAAACTCCTATCCTATCAGAGAGAGTGGGGTAGATCTCTGAAGGCAAATTCAGGCCAGTTTGAAGCAAACCTAGTGTGATCTCTATTTTCTGCTCCCTCATGTCCATCGTCAATATTGCAGTTAGGTGCTGTGAAGCAGAGTACTGCACTGTAGTGCAGCATGAGCTGAAGGTGCAGACCAAAGAAGGGGCTTTGAAAAACTGCAGAAGGGAATGAGAAGAGACCATAAACAGCTGCAAGCAAATGCCACCTTCCAAAGCACACACTATCCTGTACTCTACACATAAATTCAACTGAGGCAACTTGACTTAAGAAAGAATTTCCTTGGTAATATCATTAGAGGTTTTGGAATTAAT